CTTATGATGACTAAAGTTAACAGCGGCAGGGTAGCAGGTCCCCTTCTCCGATATGGATCTCACGGTGGAGTGCGAAACTCTGCTCTCAAAGATCCAGATCGGGAAAGGGGGCCAGCTATCAACCACTGCTTGATCGTAAGGCATCACATGATATGTCCATTACATCGGCATTCGAAACTGTTTGGTGAGCATCTGGTGCTACACCAACAATTTCCGAACAAGACCGCCAGATTTCCTAAGAGTGTTTTTGCCACCCCACAGCACAGACCACCGACTGTTTGGCAGTGCGGGAAGGTTGTCAATTTCTTACGATGCGGAAGACTCGTGATCACTTTCGTCGTCTGTATGCGTGCTGATGGTGCTCGGCATTGCATATTTGATGCACTGGTGGTGTATGCTGCAATTGTCTAATGCATCCGACATAAGAACCTGTGATGATGCGGACTTGCCAATATTTACCTGCATCATTGTATCGGATTCATCCGAGTCTAAAATCAGTCACATATTTGCGCACCCACAATTTCTATAGCATGTCTGATCGGTGACGGGCAAAGCTTGTAGTCCGGTTGAAGGCTGGTTGTGCACGTCTAATGTCAAGTCCGATATTTGTCTGCATCGTTGCGTCGGATTCATCCGGCTCTAAAGTATGTTACATACTTGCGGGCCCGCCATTTCTACACCATACATGTGAAATCGGTGAGGGTGAAGGCTTGTCGTCCGACTCAAGGCTGGCTATGCATTATCTTTTTGTTTCGTTGCGCTGCCCTCTATAGTGCTCCCCAACTGGCGGATGCATCTCTGTCGCTTTATCATTGCCAAAGTCCAACAACTGTCTCGGCTGCGATTTGGGTCAACGTTTGTTGCTCTGCTCGCAGGGAAAAGTGGAATGCTTCACTGGTGTGATACGACGACGGTCGATCAAGACTTCCCTCCCACGCCAGCTTGCCTTCCGTTACGTTTTCGGCAGAAATTGGCTAGGAAGGGATTGGTTTTGGGCATTGGAGTTCCGAGCAGTGCCGATAGTACTTCTTCCTGACTTGAGCCATGTGCTTCCTCTGGAAAACGGTCACGTGACTCAAACACTCGGCATCGACGGAAGAGAACACAGTTTTCCACCTCCACCGCGCATTCGTACATCTGTCGTGACGTGCTCGAAGACCACAAAAACACTGGAAGCGGGGGCCAGTTTCTTAGTGTCGATTGTACATTCAGAGTCTCTTCAGCATGTTCTGAAATGACCGACGCTGGGATGTCGAGCTCCATACCCGAGGGGAATCTCGGTGACTGTAGTTATAGTGGGACGGAGTACGTGTATAGTGCGAACAACTGCACTACTGCTGGTTCTTCCTTGGGAGTTGCCGATGGGGGTGATAGGGTTTCCTCGTCTACCCCTCCGCAGTGCCAGGAGAGTCAAGGACCGTCCACGGATGAAATCACTGAATACTGCAATTCACGAGAAAAGTCTTTACGATGCTTGCACTAATGAA